TAATTTCCTTGGACTAATTGTCTTCTTTCTTAGTTGTTCATAGTTTCTTGTTATAAATAAATTATTAAAATCCGCTCAAAGTAAACCTTAGATTTCGTGTTTTTGTATTGAAATCAAGAAAATCTTCATTTTATCTTTGTAATGAATGCCAATTTTCTCTGAAACTATGCAAGATATCTCGAAACGAAAATTCAATAGATTATTCTTTGGGGGCTGGAGAGTTCAAATTTTATGAGTGCCTATCGTCTTATTAGCCAACAACAAAAAAAAAAAACATCCATTACTAGGATGCATGTATTATTATTCACAATTGAAATGTCAGTTTTCCAATTCTGTCAGCTTGAAAGAAATTCCTTTAAACTTTGGAATTTCAAACTCTCAGCGGCTTGTAGAGAACTCAAAGTGTTTTTAAAAAGCCCAAAGAGCTTTATAATGTTCTTCTGGGTTATGTTTTTAGGGTCTTATGATAATGAAAATGTTGTAGAAAGATGTCCTTTCACTTCGATGCTCTCAAAGAATTTTTAAGAGAAAGCTTGTGCCATAAACCGATAATTTTGACGTGTTGTCATCACTTATGAAGTTATTTTTAACAATCAGAATATTATCGAAATATACCCTTAAGAATGTAGCTTCTAGTAAGCAATATCGAATGAGTCGATATCTATTTTCAAATATTGATAAAATGACCTAAAAAATCAAATATACTTGGCTAATCTAGAGTCCTTCAATTTCCTTGCTCATCATTAGGTGTATAGGACAAAATTGGAATGGCAATGTGCAATCATGCTGTAATTGTCTTCTGCAGAGTTTTTCGCTCCAACAGATTTACAAATCTAGGGGCTAAGTTTCTTTTTAGTATTCATCTTTGACGAATTAGAAGGCATTCATAGTTGGTTAAATCATTAAATTGTTCTAAATATATTTATATCAAATATATGAAGTCTCACTTATTTCACCGCTGCAACAAGACTCTTTTCTTAATCGAATGTGTCAACACGTAAGATAGGAAGATTTTACTCAACCATGGCATCTCGAACGTTAGCCTGCAAACATATCAAAATCCACTATCAAAAAAAGGCACTAACTAATAAACCTACAAAGGAGTTCAAGGAAGAAAAACCCCGGCTACCTTGATAACATAGCCTGTATATTGCCTTGTTTCTGAAAATTATTTTCGTCAGAGTTGAAACGAGAGGTTAGTTCTACTAGATATGTTTGTAGCTAAAAAGAAACTTTTTTTGAATACTTTCACAAGTGACAATAAACCCACTGTTAGACGTTACCTTTCATAGTTCCAAAAGTAACAAAAAGCTCATATATTTTTTGCAGATAATTCTCCATGCCCATACCTCTCTGTGTTTAAATAGAATGCTACTTGACCTGGATCATATCAATCGGCAAAGAGTAATATAATTTTAATCAGATTCAAAAGATATTTTATCTATCAAGAAAAACACCTGCCGAGCGAAGGTCTGAGCATATTTTGACATAATCAAATGAAAAAATAGCTAGAAAAAACTATTTCCTTGGATTTTTTCTGCTAGCAATTTTTCCAAAAACGAACTAACTGAAATGCCCTATATAGTTGACATTTAAAGTCTATAACTTCCAATCATGAGAAAATATTCGATCTTCCATCCTGGTAATTTTTTTTACTGAACTTTATAAAAGTAAAAAAACTCATTATTGAATAATATGGATTAAAGGTATTGATTCTTTTTTTCTCAGTTTGGACCTTTTATCTCATGCTCATGGAGAGAAAAAAACACTGAAATATCAGAGATACTCTGCGTGGTTCATTATACCATAACATGTTGCCTGTACGCGACCTCTCTTTTCGGGCTGAGCAACCCGATTACCAATACATATATTCATCTGTTGTCACGCGAAAATGAAAGAAGCAGACATCCGACATATGGGGATTATTGCCCCTAGGAGATACTTGATATAGACACAATTTTGGAAGGAGTATCAAGAAAGAACCAATTTATAGAGTTAGTCCTTCAAAGCCTGCCACAAAGTAAAACACTACAACTATGTCGTAGTAAATCTGACTTACAACAGGTTCTTTTGAAAACAAACAATATACTCAATCGAATGGCTGTTGTACGAGATTCATTTGTACAAGAAGCAAACTGATGAAGTTACCAACAATACGAATTTCCACATTAAGAGGAATTACACTTAATCCTAAAACAATAAATTTTATGCAAAGAATGAGTCTCATTTAATTGAGAAAACAAGAGCAAAGGGAATGAAGCTCATTACTAACTTACATGTCAGCTTTTGTAACTTCAGAATATATAGCGATGACTGAGGGGATGACTTGATTATTATCAATGATTTCAAATGACAAATGACTTGGAATATGCATGGATTGATTATATAATGGATTGCGATTGTAATGATCGATGGATGATCGATGATGATTAATTTGTACGATTGAATGGTGTTTACGAAATTGGTAGTGAGTAATAGATGAAGTGATATGACTTCATAAATTGGTATGATATTAGGATGTGAATTGATGATTGTGTATTCTATTTTCATCAATTGATGCTTAGAGAACATGGATTATGATTTGATAACGATGGATGGCAACTGCTACGTATGGTGCTACTACACATCTTCAAGTATTAGTGCTATCCTATTGATATCCATGATATTATTGCAAATTTCCTGCACTAACACAGACGAACCACTTTTTATAGTCAAGTATCTTTTGTACTTCTTCTAAATCTTTGTAGCGAGTCTCTTTGCTCCTGTCCTTGTCAAAAAGAATTACAGTCACATATGGGAAGTAGAGGTTTGTGGAGGGGCCACATTTCATCATCTAAAATTTCCAATTAAGCAAGAGCCAGATGGACTGATACTTAAGTATTACAAGCCGACTGCAATAGGTTGAAGTACTAATTATGAACTAGCAAAGGAGAAAAGTTAATCTTAAGATACTATTCCAGCATCCTACCGGGCTGATGGTTGTCTTTCAGCATCATGATTCCTCAAGGAGCATCTTGGGCTCTCTTTTTGATAAATTAGGTCTGTATATTGAGCTACCTTTTGATTATTACAATTTCAGGTATTAAAGTAAGACTTCCCAGTTTTGAATGTTCCTCTCTTTCATTCGAGCTATCCAATAATCACGTAAAACAATTTCGAAATATAAGTGGACTCGGAATATGTCTGTCATCGCAAACCTTTTCTCTTCTCCACACTGGGTGGAAATTTAAGGACATAAGTAAATGGATGTTATAAGTGAAAGTAAATTACTAGTTCTAAATTAAACAAATCATAGAGCAAAGTTCAAATTAATAATGCACTATTTGAATTTTGTTTAAACATATTAGACGTAACCGATCTAGTATAACATTAGATTCTGATACAGAATTATAGAAATTTTGTGACCAAGGCGTTATTTCTCGTCTTACGAATCTAAAACCGTTTAACATTAGATCCTGATAACAGATATTGATTTTGTAACAATAGAATCGTTACAGAAGTACGTCCGTTAACTTGAATAGTCTGTTCAAAGAATCCAGTGTCTATTTGAAAAGTCCTTTACTGACATTGTTTGAACAATAATGGCAAAAACGAGATAGGAAGCTGAGTATAAGGAGAAATAATGATCTCCAAAATTCCAATTAAGTGCTTTAGCGCTTTCAAGGTATAAGAGCGTTATTCCTCAAAGTCCAAAATGAATCAAGACAATCTATCAACATGATGGAAATAGGACTACACTTGGTTTGGAATCTCGCTTTCTTGCTTTACTTCTGAATCTTGATCTAAAGCATTATTCAAGAAATCTATATTTTAAAGAAATTAGATGGCTAAAAAAAGAAAGCATCTTGTAACAAACAATACTTAAAGTGGGCTGCTTTTCGTTCTGTTTGTACATCTCGCTCAAGAGCAATAAAAATTACGTCTCAGATAGGTTCCGAAAAAAAACACGATGAAACTATATACGTCCTATGTACGATAATAGGCCAATCAGAAAAACGCAAGACAAGACCGATATATGTACCAAATTCAGGCCGCGAGTCCTTAAAGAAAAAATTTACCATATTTGTGATTTCCATTATGATATGAAAACGAACTCCTTTATTCTACACAATGGCGGAGGCTTTTCGTTTTATGTAGAGTGATCTCACAAAAGAGACTGCTAGAATGGAGTAAGATCGATCCTTGCGACTTCTGCATATTTCCGTAATATTGAACATTTATCTCCGTGAAGATATTAGAGTTGGCATGCATCGGGTTTCTTGTCTAAAAGAATGGCTTTTGGCCAAGATGCAGATTCATCACTTGTTTTTAACAAGTGTTTCGTAACCTACAAGATCGAGAGCTTCTCTGTTTTGAGGGGCAGTTTTGTTTCGTATTTGGAAGGAACAATGCTTTTATCCTATCCCATCTTTGGTTGTTGCGCCCTACGTAGCAGATCACACTGGCACGTAAATTCATAAATGACGACTTTTTTGTCCCTCCAAAAACTGCCCCTCAAAGAACAGCCGCCTTCGATCTGAGGTCTAGAAACACTGTTAAAACAAGTGATTCTGCCATTGGTCAACAATCTTTTAGAACAACCCAGAAGTGCAAAACTCTATAATGACGACATGTTTCGGATAATTGCAGAGCCCGGTCGTCCTTCCATCGTAGCAGTTTTTGAGTTCAATGCTACTAAAAACGAAAAAAGCCGCCATTGTGTAGACAAAGGAAGTTCGTTTTCTCTCTGGACTCCTTGGAATTTTTCTTAGCTCTGCGGCACGATTGGTCAAACTATACCGTCTTTGTTCGTTTTCTGATTGCCTATTTCGACCACAACGGGTATATATTTTCCATCGTGTTTTTCGGAACCTATTCTGACGTTTTATGCTCTGAGGAGTGTCAGACGAAAAAGCTTTAAGTATGTTGTAAAATGTTTGCTTTTTTCAAAGCCATTTTCAAATTCTGTACCGCAAAAAAATTGTTCATATATAAAGAAAGTAGACTCTGAAATAACTTACCTTGTGGTTGTTTGAGAAAGAGTCATTTTTCTTTTTCTGAAGTCTCCTTTTGCAGAATGCCTCAAGGTTAAGAACTATTATATACTCTAGTAACGACAAGAACACCATCAGGAAGGATATAAACAAATAGAAATCGACAGCTTTGACGTATGAAACCTTGGGCATGTTGACGTTAACAACCCCAAGCATTGTTATTATTGTTAAAATTGTCGTCACGCATATAGCCGCTCGAGCCGGAACTGCTTCTTCGTGGATCCAAAACGAGGCCCAAGATACCATTACAATGAGAATACACGGCAGGTATACTTGAAGTAAGAAGTATGTCGTCTTGCGTTGAAATACGAATTTGCCAGTGGCTGAAGAGAAGTTTTCTGAAAAAAAGACGTTTAATGGGTTGATTAGTCAGCAATATTTGATGATGAAATATTTTGTGAAAATTTTTGAGCATTTGTTATTTCCCAAGTATTTTGCTTAGGTTTCCAAATCGCTTGCATAGATAGGCTTATCGCTTCGAGGAAAAATTTCCATTTCCGAAGGGGCAATTGAAGAAGAAATTTGTTCACAATACCCATAATTCTATTTTCTGGCTTTCCGGTACCTAGGTTTCCATTTTCTTATACTTTATATTTCGAAGTCTGAACAATTAGCTCAAACTGCTACGTCTCAGCCTACTTTGGCGAGAGGCAAGAGTTTAAGGCAAGGGGCACTGATTGGTCAACTTGAACAGTCATATGCTTGTGTTTCTGATTGGCCTATTTCGATCCACAACTGGGTATATATATTTCCTAGCGAAGAGTTTTCGGTCTATGTCCTGACGTTTCAAACTCTGAGGAGTGTCAGACGAAAAGCTTTAGTTTACTAAATGTTTGCTTTTTTTCAAAGCCATTTTCAAGAGTGTTTTCCAATACACAGCAGAGACAACAATTTCCACAACTGCGTCTAAATATAGCGATTATCTTTATTTTCCTTTGTGAATCAACAATTTTACAGAGCATGGAAAATTCATGCATTCATACTGTAAACCTTTTTAAATGATTTCTTGTTCTACAATATTTTTAACTGAACATTACCAATTCAAGGTAAAAATTCCCCGTTTTCACCTTAAAAACGATACTAACAAATGGCCAGAGGAGACAGAAATCTAATCCTAACATGAAATTAAAAAAAACAAGATGGCCAAATTCTATATTTCTAAAAATAGATTTTTATTCTGCAGATTATCAATATTGTTTACAAATGGAAAAATACATTCTTCCTATATTGTTGTAAACAAAATTTTCTCTGCACCTTCTCTAAACGTCTTTTAAACTTTCTTTACACAGATTCTAATGCTTTTCAAGATACTAAGAGATACCATCTATGCATCCATATGATACATGTCAGAATATCATCAGGAATAGGATTATGCATCCTTTCTAAACATGAAATTAATCTTCCATCTCAAATTAGAAATGCGAAGTGACTCACCAGTATGATAAATAGTTTTCTCAAGTGTCTTTACAGCTTCAATAATTTCAAAGTTGGCTAAGTTTCGTTCGTATATATAAACAAGACCGCAAGAGTCATTACAACCTCTAGTAAACCATTGATACTGGATATCAATTCTGTCATGTCCATCTGCGCAAAAAATACAATAATATTAAAAAAGACTCTTTTGAAGTAAAATGTATAGTGAAACAATATTATGTCGAAAAAATATGTGCACTTCTGCCAATTTCTTTATAGTGTTCAAATTCATCAAAATTTGCTCAATTATTATCCTCGATTAGTCTACCTATTTAGAGATCTTGAAAAATCTTATTGGATCGTATCGTTACGTATCGTATCGTATCGTTACGTATCGTATCGTATCGTTACGTATCGTATCGTATCGTATCGTATCGTATCGTATCGTATCGTATCGTATCGTATCGTATCGTATCGTATCGTATCGTATCGTAT